TTTTGTATTGTTCGTGCAATTTGTTAAATTTACTTGAAAATAAATGCTTTGCTACCTGTTAAAGGCCAAATCCTTTCATGTAATGATTTTTACATGTCATTTATATTAGTTCACACAAACACTCCATCCATCTGTTCCTGGCCCGGCGTCTCTGTCAAATTTTAGAACCCATTGTGGCCCGCGAGTGAAAAAGTTTGCCCACCCCTGTTCTAGGAACTTGAATTGTGAGAAGAGACAAGACGTTGGGAAATGAGTGACAAACAGTTACTCACCAGTGACTCACGGCCTACCCGTACACGGCCACACCAGGGTCGCAAACGGGTACCCGTCCCCGTCTGGGTACGGGTAGCCGGGTATCGGGAAGGGTACAGGTATCGGGTACCCGGTTGCGACCTCTGCTTTGAATGCAGCCACTTTATCTGCCGAATTGAACCGAGTTGTCGATCTCCCCTGAAATGACAGATTGAGTACGTTGAGCAGGCTGAATATGTCACATAAGCGAGCAAGTTTTGCGACCCATTCGGTGTCACTGAAATGTGCTGCCAGTGTTGACTGTTTTTCTAAAATATATCTCTGGAGTGGCTCTCGCAACTCAAAAACTCTGGCCAGTGATCTACTTTTAGAAAGCCATCTCACTTCTGTGTTTTAGAGATGATATGTGGTGAGCGCGCTGCGCTACGAACCCGGCGACCCGAGTTTGATTACCGCTCACGGCCACCACGATTATTTTTACTTGTCCTGGGCTTCCCCTAGGTCGACTCAGCCTCAAACGAGTAACTGATGTGGTCTGTGTGAACATCGCCACTGGGGAGACAAAGGCGGCCGGGGGTGGTGAATCCAAGTCCCGGGCGAAGCCGGGTCGTCAAGCTAGTCTTCTATATATAAAAGGAAAATTTGTGAATGTGTTGTCTGTTCAAAATGTTTAGCGTACTTCCCGACATGCAACAAACTTGAAATTTGCCATGTGGGTACTTTGCAAAATGTACACCATGCACAAATTATAAAAATACCCTTTTGTATTTTAGGGGGGGGGGGGGGATGACCATGAAGTGTGTGGCGAGAATCGATATCTGCTGAGCGTTTGTGGTATCGATTTAACGGGAATATTCCGATTCTAAAGAAATCTACAACCTTCGATTCCTTTGCGTGATCTAAAGAATCGAATCTTGATGCGCGAGCGTAAGTTTATTTTCCACCGCTCGTTTGGTTTTGTTTAAATTTATTTAAATTTTATTTAAATTTTTATTAATGAGATAATCATTAACAAAAATGCATTTGTATATGTTATGTTTTTAATTTTTTTTGAGAAGTTTTTCAATAAATGTTTCCCCCGGGCAACGCCGGGTGCTTCCCGCTAGTACCTAATAAATGAAACTGAAACGACTCTTTGGTTCCTTCGGTAAAGTCACGTATAAAGATAAAATAATCAATGAAAAAAGTAGTATGCTTTTATTTAATTTATTATTTTATCTTTATACGTGACTTTACCGAAAGAACCAAAGAGTAGTTCCTGCAGTCACGACAGCTTAAAATTAAGATTTAAACTGAAGCTATCAATTGGCGGTTGATTAACATAATGAATTCATAAATGCAATCGCTAGTTCATTGCGACGGGTTCAGCATCCACTCAACACTGGGCATGAGCCCGTCTCATTAACATAATTTATTCAGTTACACCGCCGCTCGTTGGGGGAGGGGATTGTGTGTTGAACCCCGCAAGTGACGTCATGTCACCTCCTGCCGCGTGACGTCACGAGCTGCTACACCGCGCTCGCTCTCACAGATCCGAGGTGAGAAGTTAACATCGTGGTTGTTGTTGTCGTGGTGGTTGTTGTTGTTTGCCCAGGTAGAGCCTCTCTCCGTCTCTCTCTCGTAGGGATATCAATTGAGTAGCAGCGAGTATGGAATCGATGTCCAGGTTGGAACATTACAACGCGGAGCCTAGCCACGCGGGGCCTTGCCTCCTGCCCTCGCCTGATTGCATTTGCTTTAATCCTCTGCTTAAGTTTAATTCGTCTTCATCTGGCTCACTACTTCATGCGACCTCCTTTGCCAGTAGCAACATATAAGAAGAGGTGTTTCCCCTTTTCTGGCAACTGAAACAGGTGTTAAGATATTCTTGGTTCTTTCGGTAAAGTCACGTAGAAGGGAAATAATAAAGTAATACAATTGTCTTGCTGTGTTTTTCACAGCTGACGATGATTGCTCGTGTTGTAGTCGAAACGTCGTGAGAATTTTTATTTAATTGTTTTTCTTCTACGTGACTTTAGGTGTGAAAAACAGCGAGAAAATTTTTGAAAAATTTCTTGCTGTGTTTTTCACACCTGACGATGATTGCTCGTGTTGCAATCGAAACGTCGTGAGAAATTTTAATTATTTCATATTTTATTATTTTATTATTTCCCTTCTACTTGATGACTTTACCGAAAGTACCAAGAATATGAATCCCTGCAGTCACGAAAGCTTTAAATAAACGCCGAACTGGAACCTTTTGCAAGGAATCTTGTCTGCATTAACCACAATATACTCGCGATCAATATGCAAACAAAACACATGCTGTGATAGTATGTGCATTATCTGTGAAACTGATTGGTCCACACCAGAGACGGCTTTTTTTCGAGCCTCGTCTCAAATGGTGTTAGACCAGAGGACAGCGCCAAAAGGCGTACACAGCACAAAGACAACGCCACCATCAGAACAATGACAGCTCGGGGTGAGCAGCTACATCATGGGAACCTCCTTTCCCAGTAGCAAAATATAAGAAGAGGTTTTACCCCTTTTATTATTTACAGATTTGTACTATTTTTTGTCTTGGGATATTTTTTCTATACGGTTTCTCCGTGTTTATTTCAATTGGTTGGACCATCTCTAGCTCCACCCACCTACCTTGATGCACCCATCTCAGGCCTATATAAGACCTTGTCTCAGCAGCTTTTTCTCTCACCTGAAGACGATTGCTTGTGTTGCGATCGAAACGTCGTGATCTATTATTTTCTATGTACGCGATTTTACCGAAAGACCCAAAGAGTATTAATTCCTGCAGTCAATAAAGCTTTAAATCAATAAATAATTATGTAGTTTGAGAAGCTCCCAATGCACTATTGGAACCACCTTTGCCAGTAGCAAAATATGATTATTGTTTTTTTACCCTTTTATCTGGCAACAAAACTGACACCTTTTTTTACGAGGAGTCATGTTTGCATTGACCACAATACCTGCGGTCAGAATGCAAAAAAAAACACAACTCTGATAATGTATGCACTGTCCTTGAAATTGATTGGTCCACACTCGAGACAGCTTTTCTTAGAGCCTAGTCTCACATGGTGTTGGACCAGATGACGCCAAAAGTCGTACAACTCAAAGACAATGTACCATCAGAGTATGAGAGCTCGGGGTACGCATTTACACCATTGGAACCTCCTTTGCCAGTAGCAAAATATGATAATTGTTTTTTTACCCTTTTATCTGGCAACAAAACTGACACCTTTTTTGAGTTGTACGCCTTTTGGCGTCATCTGGTCCAACACCATATTACCTGACCTGCAGGTATGCTGCAGGGCAGTTAATAGATATTTTCTCTGCAGCAATGAAGAGGTCTGATGTGCGACGCCCACATGAATAGGTGGAACGCTGGGTTCCTAAAACCCAGCAAGACAGGGGGGAGGACAGCTGGTTCATCTGTCAGTCATCCCTTGACACCTGGATCATTCCCATTACCTACTGTCAAGGAATCCACACTTACATGGCCTTAAATTGCACCTATCATGGCATTAGCACTGGGATAAGGTTACTTGCAATTCGTCATGAATGGTGGATTTTTGTTTAGCTATGTTAATGAAGCATGTGAAATGTATGTGTATTAGAGAGTTTATTTTTGTGGGGAGATGTGGTGCAGTTATTTCACTGCATTATGAACTCAACAATTAGTTTGATTATCACTGCCAGCAAACATGATTGATAAGTGAAAGCTTGTGGGCCTCTGTTATGTTGATTGATCTTAAATTAATTACATGGTGAAGGGAGGAAGCGTCAATACTGAGCAGATGAAGGCGGCCAGGCATGGTTCTGGACACACCACTACTTTTTACCATGCCAGTGTGTGACAGTGTTAAGTTTGTATTTGCAGTAAATTATATTAACTATTGAACATGGAGGTTAAATCAAAACAATCGCTTATTTTAGTTTCCCTCTGAAACTTTTTGGAAGAATGGAAACAGGAAATTAACAGCACATATGCTGCTGAAGTTCGATCTGTTCATCCAAGCATTCAAGCAAATCTGAGCCTGGCTTCACACCTCTAAAGTTGCGATTGAACATTTATTCATGCATTACAAATATTATTCCCAACAGCCTTTGCTATGTTAGCTGAAATTTGCTTTTATAAATACTTTTGCAGCCAGAATGCCGAAATTGTGTGCTTGGTGTTTTGCGTTAACATTTATTTTGAAGATACTCGGGCGTACAGGTATATTTATAACCTTTTGCCCTCTCATTGTGTGTCTTAACAGCCCGTGTGATGAATTGGGGATAATCTTGATTAAATTAATAAATATAGACGTGTAAGTCATGTATGGCTGTGTATATATTCATTCCTCTGTGCCTCGATACTGATGAAGATGGTGTGGACATTTTTTTCTGTCTGCAGCTGATGCTTCTTCTGATGCTTCCTCTGCAGAATTGGTCTGATGGAGCAAAGGCACTCAGCGCGGCTCGGTAGACAAAGACAACAATGGGACCAGTATGCAAACAGCATGGATTGTACTGGAAATTTTACACAGGACCAGAGATCTCCAACGGGAGAGAAACCCTTCAAGTGCACTGTGTGTGTGAAGGCATTTTCAAGTTCATTTAATCTTAAAAAACACCAGAGAACACACACAGGAGAGAACCCCTTCAAGTGCACTGTGTGTGAGAAGGCATTTGCATGGTCATCATGTTTACAGATCCACCAGAGAACACACACAGGAGAGAAACCCTGTAAGTGCACTGTGTGTGGGAAGGCATTTTCAAATTCATCTTATCTTAAAATACACCAGAGAACACACACAGGAGATAAAGCCTTCAAGTGCAGTGTGTGTGAGATGGCATTTTCACGGTCATCTAATCTTAAAATCCACCAGCGAATACACACAGGAGATAAACCCTTCAAGTGCAGTGTGTGTGAGATGGCATTTTCACGGTCATCTAATCTTAAAATCCACCAGAGAACTCACACAGGAGAGAACCCCTTCAAGTGCAGTGTGTGTGAGATGGCATTTTCACATTCATCAAATCTTACAAAGCACCAGAGAACGCACACAGGAGAAAAACCCTTCAAGTGCACTATGTGCTTGAAGGCGTTTGCACGTTCAACACAGCTTCATAGACACCAGAGAACGCACACAGGAAAGAAACCCTTTAAGTGCAGTGTGTGTGGGAAGGCATTTTCAAGTTCGTCTTATCTTAAAATACACCAGAGAACACACACAGGAGATAAACCCTTCAAGTGCAGTGTGTGTGAGATGGCATTTTCACAGTCATCTAATCTTAAAATCCACCAGAGGACACACACAGGAGAGAAACCCTTGAGGTGCACTGTGTGTGGGAAGGCATTTTCAAGTTCATTTTATCTTAAAAAACACCAGAGAACACACACAGGAGAGAAACCCTTGAGGTGCACTGTATGTGGGAAGGCATTTTCAAGTTCATTTTATCTTAAAATACACCAGAGAACACACACAGAAGAGAAAGCTTTCAGGTGTAGTGTCTGTGGGAAGGCATTTTCAGATTCATCTGCTCTTAAAAAACACCAGAGAACACACACAGGAGAGAAAGCCTTCAAGTGCAGTGTGTGTGAGATGGCATTTTTACAGTCATCTAGTCTTAAAATCCACCAGAGAATACACACAGGAGATAAACCCTTCAAGTGCACTGTGTGTAAGATGGCATTTTCACAGTCATCCAATCTTAAAACGCACCAGAGCACACACACAGGAGAGAAACCCTGTAAGTGCACTGTGTGTGGGAAGGCATTTTCAAGTTCATCTTATCTTAAAATACACCAGAGAATGCACACAGGAGATAAAGCCTTCAAGTGCAGTGTGTGTGAGATGGCATTTTTACAGTCATCTAGTCTTAAAATCCACCAGAGAATACACACAGGAGATAAACCCTTCAAGTGCACTGTGTGTGAGATGGCATTTTCACAGTCATCAAATCTTAAAAAGCACCAGAGAACGCACACAGGAGAGAAACCCTTTAAGTGCAGTGTGTGTGGGAAGGCATTTTCAAGTTCATATTATCTTAAAATACACCAGAGAACACACACAGGAGAGAACGAGTTCAAGTGCACTGTGTGTGGGAAGGCATTTTCAAGTTCATATTATCTTAAAATACACCAGAGAACACACACAGAAGAGAAACCCTTCAAGTGCACTCTGTGCGGGAAGGCGTTTGAACAGTCACCACAGCTTCATAGACACCAGAGAACACACAGGCATCAGAAGAACCCCAAGGAGTGTAGTCTGAAATCGACTTGTGAAAGTCAAAGTGCTGCAATGAACCCATCCCTCCTGAAAAAAGAACCAGAAGTAAATTCCAGCTTGGACACTATGAAATGTATCAAGGTGAAATTTGAAGAGGCGACAGTGACCAGCGAAGAAGTGACAGTGAAGAGCGAAGAAGTGAAGGTAAAATGTGAAGATGAACATTCAACTCCAAAACTGGACCTTCACATCAATGGAGGCAACGTGAAGCAGGAGGAGAATTCTGATTGTGAAGCAGAGCGAGGCAACTCCCAGCAGTTTGTGGAAGTGGAGGTGTGGGTGGACTTCTTAGACAATACAAAGTCAAATGGAGAACCTGTAGATGTGTAAGCTTGAGACAATGAAGCTGCAATAGATTCACATTTGTCACAGGCCTTTAATGAAAAGAACGTGAAGTTGAACACTCCATTCCTAGGTTCAACCTGCAGAGTAAGAGCGGTCAGTATTTGCGGACCTGTGGGTTGGGTAGATCTCTAACTAGGAGCGAGAGCCAATAAGCTCCCAAGCATTCACTATGTTATAATAATATTAACATTTATATGGTGCTTGGTTAATCGCCTCAGCAACTCATCATCTCATCACAAACACTCAAAGAGCACGCCTTTTGGCGTCCTCTGGATTAACACCGTTTGATACTAGGCTCTAAAGAAAGCTGTCTCTGGTGTGGACCAATCAGTTTCAAAGACAATGCATATGTTGTGTCCTATGACTAACCACACGGTGATCCGAGGGGAGAGAATTCACGTCAAGACAGAGACACGACCCATACATCGAGACTACTGCAAGTTACAGAAGACTACAAGCGACAGAGAGTACTGCGACGGGTAGACTCCGGGGCATGGCCTCGTGATCAACAATGGGTGGTGTGTCTCGCAGAGAAGAGGGGCGAAGTGATGCTCGGTGCTGAGTTCGGCATGGACTGACAGAGTATCGCTGAGAGTTTTATTCTACATTTATCCTGATGATTTGAGTCGCTTGCATAGTCAAGGATTGCGATAAGTTGTATTGTACTAAGCTTTCACAGTTGTTCAAGAGGTGTGCGAATACAATTTACAAGTTTTGAGAGTGAGTTCCAGCTCCCACGAGCAGCTGCGATCGGCAGGCTCCGGGGAACCTGCCCCCGTGACTGGCACATCGTCAACGAGCTGCACCAGCAGAAGCCACGAGTCTACGAAATCAACGCAAAGAGTTGACTTACTGCACGCAGCAAGCTCTGGGGTGGGACTCTGCAATCAACCAAGGATGAAGAGGCTTGCCGAGTAGCAATGGGTCACTGAGTATGAGCTCGGCGCTGACAGAAGAAGTATCGCTCAAAGATATTCAATGCGGAGTGCCAGCTCCCTCGAGCAGCTGCAGCCCGAGAGATAGAGTGACGAGCAAAGACGATCAATCAACCGGGAAAAAGGGTGGAAGCCCAAGCATCGACCAAGACAGCATCACAGAGAACCAGCTGCACGCGCAACCAGGCATCGCCAGAGAGCACGGAGCCGGAGAGAGAGCGCAGCAGCGCCACCTTCAAAGACAAGCGTCGTGCCGACTCGGCTCATCCAGCAGGGGAAAGAGCCTGACCAGCCGCCCGTGAGGAAGAGGAGAGCGCCGTGGGTTCGACCCACACCCACTGACCAGCACCAGCTGTGAACCAAGACAAGAGTGAGGAACAGCGACCAGCAGACGAGCTGCGGCCGCTATCTGACGAAGGAATCATCGCGCACCACCGACGGCAAGCGTCGTGCTGACTCCTCATCCAGCAGTGGGCAGCAGCTCCAGCTGCCGCCGAGCGAGAGAGAGCGAGGAAGCTGTGTGTATGACCCTCCCCCACACTCACATACTCACCACGTATCACCCAGCGTCTGCTTGACGCGAAGAATTGATCAAGGAGACAAAACCACCAAACACACCGCACATACCGGGACTAATAATAAGAAGAATGATAAGAGTGCGTCAACTATTAGCTGATAATGAAGAACATTGCTGCCCATTGAGTCACATGGATACGGTCGTTGAGAAGTATTTTAGTCGTTCTTTTTGTTAATTTTAACTGTACCGATGAATTCATTGACGAAACTTAACGTTTAGAAACCTACGTTACGAATCCACACACTCACAGGGAGACTATTGTGTTGAAATCTTTCTTTTGATGACAGAATCTTGCCCGCGAATTTATTGACGCCTTAGCCAATTGATAAGCATTTGCTGAAGCAGGCACACTGTCGCACACCATTGTTCCTAGACATTTAGTTAATTACATAATCTACCAATTAATTAATTGAGGTCTACTTTTGCATTCGGGACATGTTTTTTTATTGCTGTTCGTATGAATATCGTCACATTTACTTTTACGGACTTTTTCCTATTGCCGTATATGCTCGCGTTACTCTGAGAAATTAACCGATTGCTCTGTTACCTTCCTAAGTTCATGCATAATGAACTTAATTATAAGAACTGTATCCTTCGGCGAGATCTGAATTCTGAGACCTGATAGAATTACACTAAAACATAATCAATAAAAGTTACAGCGAGAATCTTTGTATTATCACGATTAGTTGGAAGACATTTTTTTCACGGACCAGCGGGGGGGGGGGGGGATGGTTTCATGATGATTCAAGCGCATTATATTTATTGTGCACTTTATTTATATTATTACATTGTAATATGAAAGAATGATACAACTCGCCATAATGCAGAATCAATGGGAGCTAGGCCTCGGCAAGGTAAGGTAAAAGTTAAACGGTAAAAAAAAAAGACTACCTTTACCTTACCTTTTACCTTACCACAATACAATCGCTCTCCCCTACCTTTTACCCTTTAGCAGGTAAGGTAAAAGGTAAAAAGAAACGACCCTACCTTTACCCTACCTTTTACCCTCATCCCATACAAATTACCCGATTACAGGGAAATTACTGGGGTACAACACATGACAAAGGTGTATAACGATAAATGCTAGGTAGAGCGCTTTGTTCATATAGAATACTCTCGAATCGGGCGTTGAGGCTGTCGACGACAACGTCCTCCATATCCTCCTCGTCCCAGTCGTCTTAGTCGATGGCGATCTCATCAACAACCTGATCAAGTTCGTCATTGCCATCGTCCTCGGACGAACGACAGGCAATAAGATCCTGCGCCGATCCGGCCCAGTTATACGGAACCTTCAGGCAGCCGACGTCCCGACCTCGCTGCCTGGGTCGAGCACGTTGTGCTTCTTGAGGTGGGCTTTCCACCCCGACGCGTTCGTGTGGGTGGAAAACCACTTGCGTGTGCTCCCACGGGAGCGCATGCCGCTGCCTTTTTCGATTACTGTTCGCAGCAATCCCAAAAATGCCATTGCTGTTATCCTCGACCTCATCCTCTAGTACCTCTACCTCAAGAACGCGGACCGTCCCCATCTGGTCCGACATCAATTATCGCAAATTAAAATAGAGGCCACGGACTGTGCCACGGAGCTTTTAGCGGTAAACAAGGTACTGTAGTTACCGGGTAATTATTCGCGCTACCTTTACCCTACCGGGTAATTCTTCTGAGCTACCTTTAACCTACCTTTACCTTACCCCTTGGCATGTCGAAACCTTTACCTTTTTACCTGGTAAAAAAGGTAATTTACCTTACCTTGCCGAGGCCTAGTGGGAGCCCTGAGCCCGTTTTCCTGTAACGAGATGGTCCCATCTGGGGGGGATGGGAGACCGTGACACCCGAAGTGTGTTGCCTATGTCCAGTCTGCTACCATATTCTAGTTTTGGTTGCTGTCACTGCAGAAATCCCTGCTTCACAAAGATAGGACGTTGGAAATGGAAGCAGGCTTTTCTGTGCTTTTGTCGCAATCTCAGGATATTCCGCCTTGACTTTAATCCAGAACGTATCGAGATTTGAAGTTGTCTCAAACATACTTTTAAGGCCACCTTCATTTGCGATCTCAAGCAGTTGATCCTCTTCTAGCACAGACAAAGTCGATTCACCTGGCTTAATCACAAATGGGTCGCGGGTCCATTCCTTCCCAGTTCGGGGGTCTTTTGTGGTTGGGAAATAATGCTCAAACTCTTTTAAAAGCTGAGATAGGTTTTAATGCACCAGCTGGGAGAAAGGCCCTGGCTCAGTCTCTTTCAAAATCTCTGCTAGTGTTTGAAACGTGTCAAAAGTTCCAATGTTCACTCGTCGCCCTCATAATTCCAGTTTGGCTTTGAATACAGCCACTTTATCTGCCGAATTGGACCGAGTTGTCGATCTCCCCTGAAATGACAGATTGAGTACGTTGAGCAGGCTGAATATGTCACACAAGTGAGAAAGTTTTGCGACCCATTCTGTGTCACTGAAATGTGCTGCCAGTGGTGACTGTTTTCCTTAAAGATATCTCTGGAGTGGCTCTCGCAACTCAAAAACTCTGGCCAGTGATCTACCTTTAGAAAGCCATCTCACTTCTGTGTTTTAGAGATGATGTGTGGTGAGCGTGCTGCGCTCCGAACCCGGCGACCCGAGTTTGATTCCCGCTCACGGCCACAACGATTATTTTACTGGTCCTGGGCTTCCCCTAGGTCAGGGGTCGGCAACCTACGGCTCCGGAGCCGCATGCGGCTCTTTACAGGCTGCTTCTTGACGATATGTACAGTATGTACTCATCGTCAAGAAGCAGCCTGTAAAGAGCAGCCTGTATGTACTCAGATGCATTGCGGCTCTTGAAATACTGAATTTTGTACCGAATTGGAAAGAAATGGCTCTTCTTGTTATTTTGGTTGCCGACCCCTGCCCTAGGTCGACTCAGCCTCAAACGAGTAACTGATGTGGTGTGTGAACATCGCCACTGGGGAGACAAAGGCGGCCGGGCGTGGTGAATCCAAGTCCCGGGCGAAGCCGGGTAGTCAAGCTAGTCTTCTATATATAAAAGGAAAATTTGTGAATGTGTTGTCTGTTCAAAATGTTTAAGCGTACTTCCCGACATGCAACAATCTTGAAATTTTCCATGTGGTACTTTGCAAAATGTACACCATGCAAAAATTATAAAAAAATAAACATTTGTATTTTGGGGGGGGGGGGGGGGGGAATGACCATGATGTGTGTGGCGAGAATCGATATCTGCTGAGCGTTTGTGGTATCGATCAAACGGAATAAGCCGATTCTAAATAAATCTACAACCTTCGATTCCTTTGCGCGATCTAAAGAATCAAATCTTGACGGGCGAGCCGCAAGTTTATTTTCCACCGCGCGTTGGGTTTTATTTAAATTTATAAAAAATTACATTTTTTATTAATTTCATGAATAAGATGAAAATCAAAAAAAATTTTCATTTGTATATGTTATGTTTTTAAGTTTTTTGAGAAGTTTTTCAAGAAATGTTTCCCCCGGGCAACGCCGGGTGCTTCCCGCTAGTACCTCATAAATGAAACTGAAACTATCAACTGGCGGTTAATTAACATAATTTATTCATAAATATCGCTATTTCATTGCGACAAGTTCAACATCCACGCCTCATCACTGCACATGAGACCGTCTCATTAACATAATTTATTCAGTTACACCGCCGCTCGTTGGGGGAGGGGATTGTGTTCAAAGCCTACCAGTGACGTCATGTCACCGCTTGCTGCCGCGTGACGTCACTTTATAGCGGGAAGCTGCTGCACCGCGCGCGCTCTTACAGATCCGAGGTGAGAAGTTAACATCGTGGTGGTTGTTGTTGTGGTTGTTGTTGTTTGCCCAGGTAGAGCCTCTCTCCGTCTCTCTCTCGTAGGGATATCAATTGAGTAGCAGCGAGTCTGGAATCGATGTCCAGGTTGGAACATTACAACGCGGGGCCTAGCCACGCGGGGCCTTGCCTCCTGCCCTCGCCTGATTGCATTTGCTTTAATCCTCTGCTTAAGTTTAATTCGTCTTCATCTGGCTCACTACTTCATGCGACCTCCTTTGCCAGTAGCAACATATAAGAAGAGGTTTTCCCCCCCCCTTTTTTGGCAACAAAGCAGGTGTTAAGATATTCTTGGTTCTTTCGGTAAAGTCACGTAGAAGGGAAATAATAAAGTAATACAATTTCTTGCTGTGTTTTTCACGCCTGACGATTGCTCGTGTTGCAGTCGAAACGTCGTGAGAATTTATTTTTTATTTTATTGTTTTTCTTCTCCGTGACTAGGTGTGAAAAACAGCAATAATTTTTTTGAAAATTTTTGATAATTTTCTTGCCGTGTTTTTCACACCTGACGATGATTGCTAGTGTAGCAGTCGAAACGTCGTGAGAATTTATTTAATTTCATTGTTTGTCTTCTACGTGACTTTAGGTGTGAAAAACAGCGAGAATTTTTTGGAAATTTTTGGAAAATTTTCTTGCTGTGTTAATTCACACCTGATTGCTCGTCTTGCAGTCGAAACGTCGTGAGAATTTTTGTAGTTTTTTATTGTTTTTCTTCTACATGACTTTAGGTGTGAAAAACAGCAAGAAATTTTTGGAAAATTCTTGAAAATGTTCTTGCTGTTTTTCACACCTGATTGCCTGCCTCGAGCGGTGATATCAATATAGAATATATGTAAGGATGCCCCCCAATAGACTTCCCCTGGATCTCTACCAGACACGTCCCACTGGGTCGAAGACCCCAGGGCTGGCCCAGGACACGCTGGCGGGACTATGTCGCTCGGCTGGCCTGGGAATGCCTGGGAATTCCCCAGGATGAGCTAGAGTCTGTCGCCAGGGAAAAGGAGGCCTGGACTGCCCTTCTCAGCATGCTGCCACCGCGACCCTCACCAGAAAAAGCATTTTAGAAACTAACGAATAAAGCTGTGATTCTTCTTGGCCACATATTACTATGTGGATTCAGAATATTAACTTATTTAAATTACCATCTCTGCTGGCTTATACCATGAAGGCTGTCCTGCCTATGATTCATCTATCCAACCAGACTTATTTTGTATTAGAAGCTTACAGATCCTGAAGATGTCAATATAGAATATAATCTTGAGTCTCTTTCGCAGGCGAGGCTGCATTTGTTTGGTCATGAATCCCGCATTCCCAGACACTACATGCTCAAGCATCTTTTGTTTGTCCAGATATTAGGGGCTGAACAGGCATGGCATTGACCAGAGAAGAGATTGGAGGATGTGGAGGTGATCGGACCTGCCGATGACTGGTGCCGGCAGTGTCAAGATTGGCCTCTGTGGAGGAGGTCCGTGAGGTATGCTGCAGGGCAGTTAATAGATATTTTCTCTGCAACAACGATGAGGTCAGAAGAGCGACGCCAACATGAATACGTGGTACGCTGGGTTCCTAAAACCCAGCAAGGTAGTGGGGAGCACAGCTGGTTCATCTGCCAGTCATCCTTTGACACCTGGATCATTCCCATTACCTGCTGACAAGGAATCCACACTTACATGGCCTTAAATTGCACCTATCATGGCATTAGCACTGGGATAAGGTTACTTGCAATTCGTCATGAATGGTGGATTTTGTTTATATATGTTAATGATGCATGTGGAATGTATGTGTATTTAAGAGTTTATCTTTGTGGGGAGCTGTGGTGCAGTTATTTCACTGCATTATGAACTCAACAATTAGTTTGATTATCAGCGACATCAAAAATGATTGATAAGTGAAAGCTCAACTGCTTGTGGGCCTCTGCTATGTTGATTGATCTTAAATTAATTAGATGATGAAGGGAGGAAGCGTCAATACTGAGCAGATGAAGGCGGCCAGGCATGGTTCTGGACACACCACCACTTTTTACCATGCCAGTGTGTGACTGTGTCAAGTTTGTATTTGCAGTAAATTATATTAACTATTCAACATGGAGGTTAAATCAAAGCAATCGTTTATTTTAGTTTCCCTCTGGAATTTTTTGGAAGAATGGAAACAGGAAATTAACAGCACATGCTGCTGAAGTTAGATCTGTTCATCCAAGCATTCAAGCAAATTTGAGCCTGGCTTCACACCTCTAAAGTTGCGATTGAACATTTATTTTTGCATTTCTGCATAATACAAATAGCATTATTCCCAAAAGCCTTTATTATATGAGCTGAATTTTGCTTTTATAAATACTACTTTTGCAGCCAGGCAGCCGAAATTGTGTGCTTGGTGTTTTGGGTTAACATTTATTTTGAAGATACTAGGGCTTCCAGGCATATTTATAACCTTTTGCCCTCTCTTTGTGTGCCTTAACAGCCCGTGTGATGAATTGGGGATAATCTTGAAGATATGGATAAATATAGACGTGTAAGTCATGTGTGACTGTGTATATATTCATTCCTCTTTGCCTCGATACTCATGAAGATGGTGTGGACATTTTTTTTCTGTCTGCAGCTGATGCTTCTTCTGATGCTTCCTCTGCAGAATTGGTCTGATGGAGCAAAAGCACTCAGCGCGGCTCGGTAGACAAAGACAACAATGGGACCAGTATGCAAACAGCATGGATTCTACTGGAAATTTTACACAGGACCAGAGATCTCCAATGGGAGAGAAACCCTTCAAGTTCACTGTGTGTGGGAAGGCATTTTCAGATTCATATGCTCTTAAAACACACCAAAGAACTCACACAGGAGAGAAACTCTTCAAGTGCACTGTGTGTGGGAAGGCAATTTCAAGTTCATTTAATCTTAAAATACACCAGAGAACTCACACAGGTGAGAAACCCTTCAAGTGCACTGTGTGTGGGAAGGCATTTTCAAGTTCATCTGATCTTAAAATACACCAGAGAACACACACAGGAGATAAACCCTTCAAGTGCAGTGTGTGTGAGATGACATTTTCACAGTCATCAAATCTTAAAAAGCACCAGAGAACACACACAGGAGAGAAACCCTTCAAGTGCACTGTGTGTGGGAAGGCATTTTCAAGTTCATCTTATCTTAAAACGCACCAGAGAACACACACAGGAGAGAAACCCTTCAAGTGCAGTGTGTGTGAGATGGCATTTTCACAGTCATCAAATCTTAAAAAGCACCAGAGAACACACACAGGAGAGAAACCCTTCAAGTGCACTCTGTGCGGGAAGGCGTTTGAACAGTCAACACAGCTTAATACACACCAGAGAACACACAGGCATCAGAAGACCCCCAAGGAGTGTAGTCTGAAATCGACTTGTGAAAGTCAAAGTGCTGCAATGAGCCCATCCCTCGTGAAAAAAGAACCAGAAGTAAATTCCAGCTTGGACACTATGAAATGTATCAAGGTGAAATTTGCAGAGGCGAAGGTGAAATGTGAAGAGGTGATAGTGAAGAGCGAAGAAGTGAAGGTAAAATGTGAAGATGAACATTCAACTCCAAAATCGGACCTTCACATAAATGGATGCAACGTGAAGCAGGAGGAGAATTCTGACTGTGAGGCAGAGCGAGGCAACTCCCAGCAGTTTGTGGAAGTGGAGGTGTGGGTGGACTTTTTGACAATACAAAGTCAAATGGAGAACCTGTAGATGTGTAAGCTTGAGACAATGAAGCTCCAATAGATTCACATTTGTCACGGGCCTTTAATGAAAATAACGTGAAGTTGAACACTACATTCCTAGGTTCAACCTGCAGAGTAAGAGCGGTCAGTATTTGCGGACCTGTGGGTTGGGTAGAACTCTAACTAGGATCGAGAGCCAATAAGCTCCCAAGCATTCACTATGTTATAATAATATAGCATTTATATGGGCTTGCTTAATTGCCTCAGCAACTCGGAGTTTTGTATCATATCTCATCACAAACACTCGAAGAGCACACCTTTTGGCGTCCTCTGGATTAACACCGTTTGATACTAGGCTCGAAAGAAAGCTGTCTCTGGTGTGGACCAATCAGTTTCAAAGACAATGCATATGTTGTGTCCTATGACTAACCACACGGTGATCCGAGGGGAGAGAATTCACGTAAAAACAGAGGCATGACCCATACATCGAGACTACTGCAAGTTACAGAAGACTACAAGCGACAGAGAGTACTGCAACGGGCAGACTCCGGGGCATGGCCTCGAGATCAACAATTGGTATTGTGTTTTGAGTCGCTTGCAAAGTCAAGGATTGCGATAAGTTGTATTGTACTAAGCTTTCACAGTTGTTCAAGAAGTGTGCGAATACAACTAACAAGTTTTGAGAGTGAGTTCCAGCTCCCACAAGCAGCTGCGATCGGCAGGCTCCGGGGACCCTGCCCCTGTGACTGGCACATCGTCAACGAGCTGCACCAGCAGAAGCCACGAGTCTACGAAATCATTGCAAAGAGTTGACTCACTGCAAGCAGCAAGCTCTGGGGTTGGACTCTGCAATCAACCAAGGATGAAGAGGCTTGCCGAGTAGCAATGGGTTACCTAGTACGAGCTCAGCGCTGGCAGAAGAAGTATCACTCAAAGTTATTTTACACTGAGTGCCAGCTCCCACGAGCAGCTGCAGCCCGAGAGATAGAGTGACGAGCAACGATGAGCAATCAACCGGGAGAAAGGGTGGAAGCCCAAGCATCGACCAAGCCAGCATCGCAGAGAACCAGCTGCACGTGCAACCAGGCATCGCCAGAGAGCACGGGGCCGGAGAGAGCGCAGCAGCGCCACCGAGCAAGGGTGTCAGCTGCCAGCGGACGAGCGGCGAGCTCTGTCAATCACCTTCAAAGACAAGCATCGTGCCGACTCAGCTCATTCAGCAGGGGAAAGAGCCTGACCAGCCTCCCGTGAGGAAGGGGAGAGCGCCAGCGAGAGCGCCGTGGGTTCAACCCACACACACCGACCAGCACCAGCTGTGAACCAAGACAAGAGTGAGGAACGGCGACCAGCAGACAAGCTGCGGGCGCTATCTGACGACGGAATCATCGCGCGCCGCTGACGGCAAGCGTCGTGCTGACTCTTCATCCAGCAGTGGGCAGCAGCTCCAGCTGCCGCCGAGCGAGAGAGAGCGAGGAAGCTGTGTGTATGACCCTCCCCCACACTCACATACCACGTATCACCCAGCGTCTGCTTGACGCAAAGAATTGATCAAGGAGACAAAACCACCAAACACACACATACAGCACATACCAGGACTAATAATAAGAAGAATGATAAGAGTGCGTCAACTATTAGCTGATAATGAAGAACATTGCTGCCCATTGAGTCACATGGATACGGTCGTTGAGAGGTATTTTAGTCGTTCTTTTTGTTAATTTTAACTGTACCGATTAATTCATTGATGAAACTTAACGTTTAGAAACCTATGTTACGAATCCACACACTCTCAGGGAGACTATTGCGTTGAAATCTTTCTTTTCATCACAGAATCTTGCCCGCTAATTTATTGACGCCTTAGCCAATTGATAAGCATTTGCTGAAGCAGGCACACTGCCGCACACCATTGTTCCAAGACATATAGTTAATTGTATAATCTACCAATGAATTCATTGAGGTCTACTTTTACAATCGGGACATGTTTCTTTATTGCCGTTCGTATGAATATCGTCACATTTATTTTAAGGACTTTTTCCTATCGCCGTATATCCTCGCGTTACTCTGAGAAATGAACCGATTCCTCTGTTACCCAGTTTAACAACGTAATCATTGAGGGTTAAATGTACGGATCAATGAGGAGCACATCTCCAGGAGTACTGTGTTGACAATTCCAAGTGTAATAAAGGACTCTTTCTCAATGTCGATCTCCGTTGTCCTTTATTTGGGTTCGTAGAATCTCGTTCACACGGCGTCCTCGCTCAGGCCCGCGTTTCTCCCGACGATCACTCCACAGCCACTCTGCTGCTCGTTCTGCAGCCTCACTGCTGCTCCGCCCTGCAGCCACACTGCTGCTCCGTCTGCAGCTTCACTGCTGCTCCGCTCTGCAGCTAGCCTTCCACCGCTCGCTAGCCCTCTGTGTCCTGACACCGATGGCTGACGGTGCCGACGTCTCCCACCGCGTGGCGACCGCGCCACTCTCGCCGTACTGCCCAGCGTGGCCTCCTCCCGTTTCACTCCGTCTGAACTCCCCGTTCCCCTTCCGGTTCTCTCCCTAAATCCTCTCCCCCACGTGACCCTAACTCCTCCCTCTCCTCACGTGACCCAGACTCCGCCCCCCCTCAATCCTTGCTCGCATTACATGACCCCCCCCCTGATGAAAACCCAGCCGTCCCCGGCTGCAATAAATATAATAAAATAATGCGAGCAACATTTTAACCATCTGGCATCACCGGACAACGGAGAATATAACAACGATAACAAGAACAACAACAACAAGAAAACAACGAAAGGAAAGGGATTTGGAACGCGTGCGGGTCGCCGGCCCGTCCCGAACGGGCGGCGGCCCCCCCACAGACCGAGATTGCGACGGGGTTTTAAGAGCGACGGGAGTAGAACCGCCGGCCGCTGTAGGAGGCCCGTCAACGCCAAGGTCCCATTCCCCAGAGAGACCCAAGTCCAGGGTCTCCCGCAACCGTGTCTGTGGTGGGGTTGGAGGGGCAGCGGGGTCAAGTGGCCCCGTCGCCGTGGTAGGCCCACCCAGAGCAGGATTCGCCGCATCCGCCTGCGTCACGGCTGGTTCGTCTGTAGAAGGCACGACAGGCGCGCTTGCAGGGTCAACAGGCAAGGGCAGAGGTGCGTCGGGTGCAACAGACACCGGCAAGGCAACATCAGGAGATGACGCATCCTTCCGCGGGGCCACGTAGAGCTTCAACCTAGACGTATGGACGTACCAGCGCCGCGATCCAAATCGAACCCGCGCGGACTGCGGGTTAGGGACTTCAATAAGCTTAACTGGCCCTTGCCATGGTTTGTGAAGCTTAGGGGAGGTCCCCGGCCGCACCTGCGGGCAGTGCAGCCATGCCATGTCACCCACTCGCCAGGGGCATTTACCGGTCGAGCGCCGGGCGTAACGCTCGTTCCGCGCCTGAGTCTTGGCAGTAGCCAATCGGGCCCCCTCCCGTGCCTCGGCGACGCATCGAACAGTGTCCTGAATGTACTCGGGGAGAGGCTTAACAGGACCCTTCGCCCCCGTACCCAGCTGTACTTCCACCGGCGGCACATTCTCGCGGCCGTAGATTAGAAAAAATGGAGAATACCCTGTGGACGCATGAGGCGTCATCCGATACGCGGAGAGTACCCCAGGTATATGCAAGTCCCAATCAGCTTGTTTCTCGTCAACCGTGACATAACATGGCCGACAGCGTCCGATTAAGCCGTTCCACCATGCCATCCGTCTGCGGGTGGTAGGGAGACGTACGAACCTTCTTGGTTCCCAGAGCAGCGCACACTTCGCCAACAATTTAGAAGAAAAATTTCGCCCCTGATTCGTGAGTAGCCTTTCCGGCGCCCCTTTGTCCAGTACATATCCAAACAGGAAGGCGTCCGTGATAGACGCCGCCGACTGGTCGGGTAAGGGCCAAGCCAAGCCATCGGCCAACGAGAATTATTCCACCCCGACCAGCACAAATTTATTACCCCTAGCGGATGGCGGGAAAGGTCCCAAAATATCCAGCGCCACCAACTCGTTGATTCGAGACACCTGTATAGACTGCACCGGCGGCACATATGGGTTTTTAGGCGGCTTCCGCCGTGCACACTCGGGACACGCCCGAATGTGTCCGACGACATCCGTTGTCATGCCGTGCCAGAAGTAGTCTCGCTGCAATGTTAGCAAAGTTTTCTGCACCCCGAGATGTAACAAAGTGTCGCAGTGCAGAGTCCGAATAAATTCGTACCGTAATGACGACGGTACCACCAGACGCCAGCGGTCATGCAACCCCTCCCTCCACATGAGCAAACCATCCCGGAGAGCGGCCCCCGGCGTCCCACCGGACAGCAGTCCCCCCGCTCCCTTCACAGCCCGACTCCGTAAAGCCCCCAACGTGTCGTCAAGCAATTGTTCACGAATCCATACTGAGCGCGGCAGGTTCAGAACCCCATCGGCCGGTCCTGGGCACACCAGAGCCCCAGGCACCTTGACAGCTGACACGACACGCCCCCTTACGATATTGAATGTCGAAGGAAAATTCCTGCAGGGTCTCCAACCATCGTGCAAGTTGGCCAGATGGTTGGTCAACTCTCAGGGCATATTGCAGAGCCGTATGGTCCGTGCGCACAATAAACGAACGGCCGTATAGATACGGCCGATATTGGCGGAGAAAATAGACAATAGCCAATAGTTCACGGCGAGTAACGCAGTAGCGGGTTTCTGCCGGGGACAGCACATGGCTACCGTAGGCTACCACGCGTTCCACGCTGCCCTTGGACTGTGACAGAACAGCCCCGATCCCGGTGTCACTAGCGTCCATATCCAGAATAAAAGGTCGAACAAAATCCGGATAGTCCAATGTCGGCGCCGTCGCCAACCGATCGCGTAGGCCCTCAAACGCCGCTTCCTCCGGCGGCCCCCAACTGAACCTCCGACCCTTGCCCGTAAGGGGGTGCAAGAGCCTAGCGATCATAGCAAAGTTCGGAACGAACCTGCGATAATATGAGGCGAACCCAAGGAAGCGACGTACATCCCCAACTGAGGCCGGGGTTGGCCAGTTGCGGACGCACGCCGTCTTCTCTGGGTCCATGGCCACCCCGTCCGCACTGACTGTGTCCCAAATAACGCACGGAGCGTTGCAGTAGGTGACACTTCTTTGGTTTGAATTTTAGATTGGCGGAGCGCATCCTAGCAAAAACCGTCTCCAATCTCTGTAAATGTTCATCAAATGTGCGGCTAAAGACGATGACATCGTCTAAATAAATCAAACATGTCTCCCACTGCAGACCCGTTAACACCAGCTCCATCAACTGCTGAAAAGTGGCGGGGGCTGCATTCAAGCACATCGGAAGGCAATTAAACTGAAACAATCCCTGCGGCGTACGGAAAGCCGTCTTTTTTCTCGAGGACTCATCGAGGGGAAGCTGCCAGAATCCCGAGGAGAGATCCAGCGTTGAAAAAACTTCGCCCCGGACAAGGCATCGAGGGAATCATCCATACGCGGCATGGGGTACGCGTCTGCGACGGACACCTTGTTTAATTTTCGAAAATCGATGCAAAATCGCAGTTTCCCATCCTTCTTCACAAGGACTACCGGCGCGCCCCATGGACTGTTAGACGGGGATATTATGTCAGCGGCCAGCATGTCCTCCACTGCACCGCGAACCTGATCCTGCTCCGTCGGGCTCAACCGATGCGAGTTCAACCGAATCGGAGTGGCGTCCCCCGTATCAATGTGGTGGGAAAGCAAGGAGGTGTGTCCCAAGTCAAAATCATCCGAGCTGAACACGTCGGAATAGCTTAGCAACAGCGCGCGAAGCGCGGACCGTTCTGCGGTCAGGGATGAATTCTCCCCACACAACTCGGCAACCCAACGATCATCCTGCCCCGTAGGCCCCACAACCCCCCCTACCATGTCCCGGCGGCCCCGGTCGTCATGGGCCATGAACGCGGTCGTGGCGTGAGCCAAAACCGTTCCGGCCGGGACGCTAACATTCTCCGCACTCCCATTCAGCACTTGTAAAAACGGGGGCTGGCCCGGCCAGACAATAGTTTGTGCCCCAACCAGCGCCGAGCCGCCCGTTATAGCCGTGGACGGCGATAACAAAACCCCCGCCGCTCCCTCAACGCCAGGTACTGGCTTCCGATATCTCAACGGGATAAGCATCTGCGAACCAGGTGGAATGTCAACAGATACCTCGGACATCGCCTGTACCTGGCATACAGGGGCAGACCGGCCCCATGGCGACGGCAAGAACGAAAATTTCCGCCCCCCGGTAATTCAATGCAATTTTGATCAACTGTTATTTGAATGGGCATTTTTGCCAGGAAATCGGTCCCCAACAAACAGGGTACCACGAGGGACCTAGAGATCAAAACGGTCCCTGAAGCCGACACCCCCCCAATCGATATGTTGGCGTCCACCTGGCCCACAATGCCCATACTTCCCCCGTTCGCCGCTATGCACGAATCATAAACCGGTCGCACTCTCCCCAGCGGAATGCCCAAGAGATGGAAAATGACGTCCGAAATAATGGTCGCGGACGCACCGGAGTCCACCAAAATACGCACCTCGACCCCCTGAATAGAACTCGGTACAGTGGACGACCCAGTAGCGGCCGCAACCACCCTCCGTGCCAATCGCCGCCATTGCGTCAGCGAGCGACACGGGTCAATCGGTGGCCCCTCTTTGTTAACGACGGCCCCGGGATGCGAGCCCAACAACCCCTGGCGAAGTGGCCCTTACGGCCGCAGCGGAAACACTCCACGTCGTTTCGACACGCGGCACCCCCTCTGTCCCGACGCTCCCGTGCCGGCGGCCCGGACCTCGGCCCCGTACCCCCCCGAGCAGGCCACTGGGCGGAGGCGGCCGTCAACTCCTGCGGACCCTTGTCAGGAACGTAGACCGCCTTCTAAGGGTCCCACCCCGTAGCACTGCCTTCGACGATGGGGCCCCCCGTTCAAGCTGACACCTGTTTCCAGCGTCGGAGATTAAATTGAGCATCCAAGCACTTATCCGCAGCACGGGACGTCAACTTATCATGGCTGCACACCGGCATGGGGATCCCCAAGTCTCTAGACAATTCCAGCATCTTGCCCAACACAAGGGGTTCCAACAAATCCGGCTCCGTCTCGGGGTATGCTGCCATCGCCAGTTCCAGAACGGCGCCTCTGAAAGCCACCGGCGATTCTTCGGGCGCCCGTTGCCGCTGTACGAATCTACGATGGGCATCGTCCGGAGGCTCGTACGCATCCGCCATTTCCTCGAAGACACCCTGCAGCGTCCTCTTCTTGTCGGCCTTGATGGAGCGGAAGAACCTGACGGACTCATCGTCGAGAAGTGTTGGTAGGACTTCCAGGGCCTCCGCGTCCGTCCATTTGGTGGATCGTACAGCCGCTTGAAAACGGCAGGCGAATGCGCTCCAATCGCCGCCGATGGAGAACTCTTTTACCGTTGTTAAATGACGGCTGCGGGTCCTTGCTCCACCGTCCTCCGCCGATGGTGACTCACGCGGCAGCGACAAGATGTCGTCACTCCGCAACGTGTGCAAGATGGCGGCTTCCCGCGGCGGAGGGCGCAAGATGGCGGCTTCCCGCCGTTCCTCCCCGCCGGGCCTCCCCGAAGTCGTCGCCGGCGTCACGAGGTCGCACAACTGCGCCAACACCGTCTTCAGTGCCTCCAGTTGGGCCGCCACCTGTCGCCATCCTTCATCAGCGTCCACTCGCGCGGATGGACCCACCGAAGCGGCCACGTCCTGCACGCCCGGACCGCCGCTCGTCCCAGCGTCGCTTTCCCCCTCCATCGTCGGTAGCGCCACCGCTGGAGGGAGGTCGTCGTCAGAAGATGCTGCAGAAGATGGTGCAGGGACGTTCTTCCTTCTGAGCTGTTTTGACATGCCGTTTCACTTCTGACACCAATGTAATAAAGGACTCTTTCTCAATGTCGATCTCCGTTGTCCTTTATTTGGGTTCGTAGAATCTCGTTCACACGGCGTCCTCGCTCAGGCCAGCGTCTCTCCCGACGATCACTCCACAGCCACTCTGCTGCTCGTTCTGCAGCCTCACTGCTGCTCCGCACTGCAGCCACACCGCTGCTCCGTCTGCAGCTTCACTGTTGCTCCGCTCTGCAGCTAGCCTTCCACCGCTCGCTAGCCTTCTGCATCCTGACACCGATGGCTGATGGTGCCGACGTCTCCCACCGCGTGGCGACCGCGCCACTCTCCCCGTACTGCCCAGCGTGGCCTCCCGTTTCACTCCGTTTCAACTCCCCATTCCCCTTCCGGTTCTCTCCCTAAATCCTCTCCCCCACGTGACCCTAACTCCTCCCTCTCCTCACGTGACCCAGACTCCGCCCCCCCTCAATCCTTGCTCGCATTACACAAGCATAAGAGTTCGCATATTAGAGTGTTGTGTTTTTGTTTATGAATTAAAGTTGCTAAACACAGAAGTGTCTGAGTGGTTCCTTCCTAAGTTCATGCATAATGATCTTAATTATAAGAACTGTTCCCTTCGGCGAGATCTGAATTCTGAGACCTGATAGAATTACACTAAAACATGATCAGCGAGAATCTTTGTATTATCACGATTAGTAATTTTTTCACGGGGGGGGGGGGATGCTTTCATGATGATTCAAGCGCAATATATTTATTGTGCACTTTATATTATTATTACATTGTAACAGAGGTGTGGACTCGAGTCATGTGACTTGGACTCGAGTCAGACTCGAGTCATGAATTTGATGACTTCAGACTCGACTTGGACTTGCATAACAATGACTTTGTCCCACCTCTGAGGTGTGGACTCGAGTCATGTGACTTGGACTCGAGTCAGACTCGAGTCATGAATTTGATGACTTCAGACTCGACTTGGACTTGCATAACAATGACTTTGTCCCACCTCTGCATTGTAATATGAAATAATTATACAACTCACCATAATGCAGAATCAGTGGGAGCCGTGAGCTTGTTTTCCTGTAACTAGATGGTCCCATCGGGGGTGATGGGAGACGGTGACACCCGAAACGTGTTGCCTATGTCCAGTCTACTCCATAATCTCGTTTTGGTTGCTGTCACTGCAGAAAACCCTGCTTCACAAAGATAGGATGTTGGAAATGGAAGCAGGCTTTTCAGTGCTTTTGTGACAATATCAGGATATTCCGCCTTGACTTCAATCCAGAACGTATCGAGATTTGAAATTGTCTCAAACATACTTTTAAGGCCACCTTCATTTGCGATCTCAAGCAGTTGATCCTCTTCTAGCACAGACAGTCGATTCACCTGGCTTATTCACAAATGGGTCGCGGGTCCATTCCTTCCCAGTTCGGGGGTCTTTTGTGGTTGGGAAGTAACGCTCAAACTCTTTTAAAAGCTGAGATAGGTTTTAATGCACCAGCTGGTGGAAAGGCCCTGGCTCAGTCTCTTTCAAAATCTCTGCTAGTGTTTGAAACATATTATTAAGTTCCAATGTTCACTCGTCACCCCCATAATTCCAGTTTGGCTTTGAATACAGCCACTTTATCTGCCGAATTGAACAGAGTTGTCGATCTTCCCTGAAATTACAGATTGAGTACGTTGAGCAGGCTGAATATGTCACACAAGTGAGCAGGTTTTGCGACCCATTCTGTGTCATTGAAATGTGCTGCCCCAGTGGTGACTGTTTTTCTAAAAGATATCTCTGAAGTGGCTCTCGCAACTCAAAAACTCTGGCCAGTGATCTACCTTTAGAAAGCCATCTCACTTCTGTGTTTTAAAGATGATGTGTGGTGAGCGCGCTGCGCTACGAACCCGGCGACCCGAGTTCGATTCCCGCTCACGGCCACCACGATTATTTTTACTGGTCCTGGGCTTCCCCTAGGTCGACTCAGCCTCAAACGAGTAACTGATGTGGTGTGTGAACATCGCCACTGGGGAGACAAAGGCGGCCGGGCGTGGTGAATCCAATTCCCGGGCGAAGCCGGGTAGTCAAGCTAGTCTTCTATATATAAAAGGAAAATTTGTGAATGTCTTGTCTGTTCAAAATGTTTAGCGTACTTCCCGACATGCAACAAACTTGAAATTTTCCATGTAGTACTTTGCAAAATGTACACCATGCAAAAATTCTTAAAAAATAAACATTTGTATTTTGGGGGGGGGGGGGAATGACCATGAAGTCTGTGGCGAGTATCGATATCTGCTGAGCGTTTGTGGTATCGATTAAACGGGAATTGGCCGATTCTAAATAAATCTACAACCTTCGATTTCTTTGCGCTATCTAAAGAATCAAATCTTGACGGGCGAGCCGCAAGTTTATTTTCCACCACGCGTTGGGTTTTATTTAAATAAAAAATTTATAAAAATTTGTATTAATTTTATGAATACGATGTTATGTTTTTAAGTTTTTTGAGAAGTTTTTCAATAAATATTTCCCCCGTGCAACGCCGGATGCTTACCGCTAGTTCCTAATAAATCAAACTGAAACTATCAACTGGCGGTTAATTAACATAATTTATTCATAAATATCGCTATTTCATTGCGACAAGTTCAACATCGACGCCACATCACTACACATGAGACCGTCTCATTAACATAATTTATTCAGTTACACCGCCGCTCGTTGGGGGAGGGGATTGTGTTCAAAGCCCGCCAGTGACATCATGTCACCGCTTGCTGCCGCGTGACGTCACTTTATAGCGGGAAGCTGCTACACCGCGCGCGCTCTTACAGATCCGAGGTGAGAAGTTAACATCGTGGTGGTTGTTGTCGTGGTGGTTATTGTTGTTACCCAGGTAGAGCCTCTCTCCGTCTCTCTCTCGTAGGGATATCAATTGAGTAGCAGCGAGTCTGGAATCGATGTCCAGGTTTGAACATTACAACGCGGGGCCTAGCCACGCGGGGCCTTGCCTCCTGCCCTCGACTGATTGCATTTGCTTTAATCCTCTGCTTAAGTTTAATTCGTCTTCATCTGGCTCACTACTTCATGGGACCTCCTTTGCCAGTAGCAACATATAAGAAGAGGTTTTTCCCCTTTTCTCGCAACTAAAACAGGTGTTAAGATATTAGTGGTTCTTTCGGTAAAGTCACGTAGAAGGGAAATAATAAAGTAATACAATTTCTTGCTGTGGATTTCACACCTGACGATGATTGCTCGAGTTGCAGTCGAAATGTGAGAATTTTAATATTTTTATTTTATTGTTTTTCTTCTACACGACTTTAGGTGTGAAAAACAGCAAGAATTTATTTGAAAATTTTCGATAATTTTCTTGCCGTGTTTTTAACACCTGACGATGATTGCTCGTGTTGCAGTCGAAACGTCGTGAGAATTTTTTTTTATTTCATTGTTTTTCTTCTACGTGGCGAGGTGTGAAAAACAGCAAGAATTTTTAGGAAATTTTTTGAAAAATTTCTTGCTGCGTTAATTCACACCTGATTGCTCGTGTTGCAGTCGAAACGTCGTGAGAATTTTTTTAGTTTTTTATTGTTTTTCTTCTACATGACTTTAGGTGTGAAAAACAGCAAGAAATTTTTGGAAAATTCTTGAAAATTTTCTTGCTGTTTTTCATACCTGATTGCCTGCCTCTAGCGGTGATATAAATATAGAATATATGTAAGGATGCCCCCCAATAGACTTCCCCTGGATCTCTACCAGACACGTCCCACTGGGTCGAAGACCCCAGGGCTGGCCCAGGACATGCTGGCTGGACTATGTCACTCGGCTGGCCTGGGAATGCTTGGGAATTCCCCAGGATGAGCTAGAGTCTGTCGCCAGGGAAAAGGAGGCCTGGACTGCCCTTCTCAGCATGCTGCCACCGCGACCCTCACCAGGACAAGCATTTTAGAAACTAACGAATAAAGCTGTGATTCTTCTTGGCCACAGATATTACTATGTGGATTCAGAATATGAACTTATTTAAATTACCATCTCTGCTGGCTTATACCATGAAGGCTGTCCTGCCTATGATTCATCCTCTATCCAACCAGACTTATTTTGTATTAGAAGCTTACAGATCCTGAAGATGTCAATATAGAATATAATCTTGAGTCTCTTTCGCAGGCGAGGCTGCATTTGTTTGGTCATGAATCCCGCATTCCCAGACACTGCATGCTCAAGCATCTTTTGTTTGTCCATATATTAGGGGCTGAACAGGCATGGCATTGGCCAGAGGAGAGATTGGAGGATGTAGAGGTGATCGGACCTGCCAATGACTGGTGCCGGCAGTGTCAAGATTGGCCTCTGTGAAGGAGGTCCGTGAGGTATGCTGCAGGGCAGTTAATATATATTTTCTCTGCAACAACGATGAGGTCGGAAGAGCGACGCCATCATGAATACGTGGTACGCTGGGTTCCTAAAACCCAGCAAGACAGTGGGGAGCGCAGCTGGTTCATCTGTCAGTCATCCCTTGACACCTGGATCATTCCCATTACCTGCTGACAAGGAATCCATACTTACATGGCCTTAAATTGCACCTATCATGGCATTAGCACTGGGATAAGGTGACTTGCAATTCGTCATGAATGGTGGATTTTTGTTTATATATGTGTAACGGGTTCCGGAGACACTTGTAGATGTACTTCTTTATTACAATACAACACTCCAACAGTACTCCAACTCTCCAACAGTCCTGATACTCTGTTACAGCCTAGGTACACAGCCTAGCTGCTCTCATCTGGCTACGCTCCGGAACTCGCCCTCACAAGGTCGTAGAGTCGGGAGTTCCAGAGTCCCAGCGCTGGCTCTCACAGCATCCCAGGGTCTTCAGATGGCTGGTCGTGGGTCTTGGGTCTTGAGTTACAACTGGGCCCCGATCGTCCAGGGAGCTCTCCTTTTATGCCTGATCCAACGAGGGGTGGGGCCGTGTGCGCCACCAGACATCCCACAGAGCACACACAGGCCCCCCCCCCGTTGGCGGCGCCCAGGGGATTAAGCGCCTGGGAACTCAACGCCTGGCGCCCAGAGGCTTAAGCGTCTGGACCCCCTGGGAACCCAGCGCCTGGCGCCCAGAGGCTTAAGCGTCTGGACTCGCCTGGGATCCCAGAGCCCCCAGCAGCCCCTCCCTTCTTATGTCACTACATATGTTAATGATGCATGTGAAATGTATGTGTATTTAAGAGTTTATCTTTGTGGGGAGCTGTGGTGCAGTTATTTCACTGCATTAGGAACTCAACAATTAGTTTGATTATCACCGCCAGCAAACATGATTGATAAGTGAAAGCTGAACTGCTTGTGGGCCTCTGCTATGTTGATTGATCTTAAATTAATTACATGGTGAAGGGAGGAAGCGTCAATATTGAGCCGATGAAGGCGGCCAGGCATGGTTCTGGACACACCACCACTTTTTACCATGCCAGTGTGTGACAGTGTCAAGTTTGTATTTGCAGTAAATTATATTCACTATTGAACATGGAGGTTAAATCAAAACAATCGTTTATTTTAGTTTCTCTCTGGAACTTTTTGGAGGAATGGAAACAGGAAATTAACAGCACATATGCTGCTGAAGTTAGATCTGTTCATCCAAGCATTCAAGAAAATCTGAGCCTGACTTCACACCTCTAAAGTCACGATTGAACATTTATTTGTGCATTTATGCATAATACAAATAGTATTATTCCCAACAGCCTTTGCTATGTTAGCTGAATTTTGCTTAACACGTAGGCTTTCGCGACCAATATTATTCATAATCAACGTTTTTGGGTTTAGATCGCGTTATTTATAAATGTGTCATAACCCTCCACCACCCTACACGGCCAATCAGTAAAAAAGTCACGTTGACAAAAGACAAATTAGTTCACTGCTTTAGCCCACCGGTGTGTTGAAGCGCGAAACCACAACATTTACTCAAATTGTAAATGTTGTGGTTTCGCGCTTTAACACACCGGTGGGCTAAAGCAGTGAACTAATTTGTCTTTTGTCAACGTGACACCTTTTTACTGATTGGCCGTGTCGGGTGGTGGAGGGTTACGACACATTTATAAATAACGCGATCTAAACCCAAAAACGTTGATTATGAATGAATTTTGCTTGTATAAATACTTCTTTTGCAGCCAGGCTGCCGAAATTGTGTGCTTGGTGTTTTGGGTTAACATTTATTTGGAAGATACTAGTGCTTCCAGGTATATTTATAACCTTTTGCCCTCTCATTGTGTGCCTTAACAGCCGATGTGACGAATTGGGGATAATCCTGAATATATGAATAAATATAGACATGTAAGTCATGTGTGACTGTGTATATATTCATTCCTCTGTGCCTCGATACTGATGAAGATGGTGTGGACAATTTTTTTCTGTCTGCAGCTGATGCTTCTTCTGATGCTTCCTCTGCAGAATTGGTCTGATGGAGCAAAGGCACTCAGCGCGGCTCGGTAGACAAAGACAACAATGGGACCAGTATGCAAACAGCATGGATTCTACTGGAAATTTTACACAGGACCAGAGATTTCCAATGGGAGAGAAACCCTTCAAGTGCACTCTGTGTGGGAAGGCATTTTCAAATTCATCTGCTCTTAAAATACACCAGAGAACACACACAGGAGAAAAACCCTTCCAGTGCACTGTGTGTGAGAAGGCATTTTCACGTTCATCTTATCTTAAAAAACACCAGAGAACACACACAGGAGAGAAACCCTTCAAATGTAGTGTGTGTGGGAAGGCATTTTCAAGTTCATCTTCTTTTAAAATACACCAGAGAACACACACAGGAGAAAATGCCTTCAAGTGCACTGTGTGTGAGAAGGCATTTTCAAGTTCATGTTATCTTAAAATACACCAGAGAACACACACAGGAGAGAAACCCTTCAATTGTAGTGTGTGTGGGAAGGCATTTTCAAGTTCATCTTATCTTAAAAAACACCAGAGAACACACACAGGAGAGAAACCCTTCAAGTGCACTGTGTGTGGGAAGGCATTTTCAAGTTCATGTTATCTTAAAATACACCAGAGAACGCACACTGGAGAGAAACCCTTCAGGTGTAGTGTGTGTGGGAAAGCATTTTCAGATTTATCTGCTCTTAAAAAACACCAGAGAACACACACAGGAGAGAAAGCCTTCAAGTGCACTGTGTGTGGGAAGGCATTTTCAAGTTCATCTTATCTTAAAATACACCAGAGAACACACACAGGAGATAAACCCTTCAAGTGCACTGTGTGTGGGAAGGCATTGTCAAGTTCATTTTATCTTAAAAAACACCGGAGAACACACACAGGAGAGACACCCTTCAAGTGCACTGTGTGTGGGAAGGCATTTTCAAGTTCATTTTATCTTAAAAAACACCAGAGAACACACACAGGAGAGAAACCCTTCAAGTGCACTGTGTGTGGGAAGGCATTTTCAAGTTCATCTTATCTTCAAATCCACCAGAGAATGCACAAAGGAGAGAACCCCTTCAAGTGCAGTGTGTGTGAAATGGCATTTTCATATTCATCAAATCTTAAAATACACCAGAGAACACACACAGGAGAGAAACCCTTCAAGTGCACTCTGTGCGGGAAGGCGTTTGCACAGTCACAACAGCTTCATAGACACCAGAGAACACACAGGCATCAGAAGACCCCCAAGGAGTGTAGTCTGAAATCGATTTGTGAAAGTCAAAGTGCTGCAATGAGCCCATCCCTCCTGAAAAAAGAACCAGAAGTAAATTCCAGCTTGGACACTATGAAATGTATCAAGGTGAAAATTGCAGAGGCGAAGGTGAAATGTGAAGAGGTGATAGTGAAGAGCGAAGAAGTGAAGGTAAAATGTGAAGATGAACATTCAACTCCAAAATCGGACCTTAACATCAATGGAGGCAACGTGAAGCAGGAGGAGAATGATGACTGTGAGGCAGAGCGAGGCAACTCCCAGCAGTTTGTGGAAGTGGAGGTGTGGGTGGACTTCTTAGACAATACAAAGTCAAATGGAGAACCTGTAGATGTGTAAGCTTGAGACAATGAAGCTCCAATAGATTCACATTTGTCACAGGCCTTTAATGAAAATAACGTGAAGTTGAACACTCCATTCCTAGGTTCAACCTGCAGAGTAAGAGCGGTCAGTATTTGCGGACCTGTGGGTTGGGTAGATCTCTAACTAGGAGCGAGAGCCAATAAGCTCCCAAGCATTCACTATGTTATAATAATATTAGCATTTATATGGTGCTTGCTTAATCGCCTCAGCAACTCGGGAGTTTTTTATTATCTCATCACAAATACTTAAAGAGCACGCCTTTTGGCGTCCTCTGGATTAACACCGTTTGATGCTAGGCTCTAAAGAAAGCTGTCTCTGGTGTGGACCAATCAGTTTCAAAGACAATGCATATGTTGTGTCCTATGACTAACCACACGGTGATCCGAGGGGAGAGAAATTCACGTAAAGACAGAGACACAACCCATACATCGAGACTACTGCAAGTTACAGAAGACTACAAGCGACAGAGTACTGCGACGGGCAGACTCCGGGGCATGGCCTCGAGATCAACAATGGGTGTTGTCTCGCAGAGAAGAGGGGCGAGGTGATGCTCGGTGCTGAGTTCGGCATGGACCGACAGAGTATCGCTGAGAGTTTTATTCTACATTCATCCTGATGTTTTGAGTCTCTTGCAAAGTCAAGGATTGCGATAAGTTGTATTGTACTAAGCTTTCACAGTTGTTTAAGAGGTGTGCGAATACAATTTACAAGTTTTGAGAGTGAGTGCCAGCTCCCACGAGCTGCTGCAGCCCGAGAGATAGAGTGACGAGCAACGACGAGCAATCAACCGGGAAAAAGGGTGGAAGCCCAAGCATCGACCCAGCCAGCATCGCAGAGCACCAGCTGCACACGCAACCAGGCATCGCCAGAGAGCACGGAGCCGGAGAGAGAGCGCAGCAGCGCCACCGAGCAAGGGTGTCAGCTGCCAGCGGACGAGCGGCGAGCGCTGTCGAGCACCTTCAAAGACAAGCGTCGTGCCGACTTGGCTCATCCAGCAGGGGAAAGAGCCTGACCAGCCGCCCGTGAGGAAAAGGAGAGCGCCGTGGGTTTGACCCACACACACCGACCAGCACCAGCTGTGAACCAAGACAAGAGTGAGGAACGGTGACCAGCAGACGAGCTGCGGGCACTATCTGACGACGGAATCATCGCGCACCGCCGACGGCGAGCGTCTTGCCGACTCTTCATCCAGCAGTGGGCAGCAGCTCCAGCTGCCGCCGAGCGAGAGAGAGTGAGGAAGCTGTGTGTATGACCCTCCCCCACACTCACATACTCGCCACGTATCACCCAGCGTCTGCTTGACGCGAAGAATTGATCAAGGACACAAAACCACCAAACACACCGCACATACCGGGACTAATAATAAGAAGAATGATAAGAGTGCGTCAACTATTAGCTGATAATGAAGAACATTGCTGCCCATTGAGTCACATGGATACGGTCGTTGAGAAGTATTTTAGTCGTTCTTTTTGTTAATTTTAACTGTACCGATGAATTCATTGACGAAACTTAACGTTTAGAAACCTACGTTACGAATCCACACACTCACAGGGAGACTATTGTGTTGAAATCTTTCTTTTGATGACAGAATCTTGCCCGCGAATTTATTGACGCCTTAGCCAATTGATAAGCATTTGCTGAAGCAGGCACACTGTCGCACACCATTGTTCCTAGACATTTAGTTAATTACATAATCTACCAATTAATTAATTGAGGTCTACTTTTGCATTCGGGACATGTTTTTTTATTGCTGTTCGTATGAATATCGTCACATTTACTTTTACGGACTTTTTCCTATTGCCGTATATGCTCGCGTTACTCTGAGAAATTAACCGATTGCTCTGTTACCTTCCTAAGTTCATGCATAATGAACTTAATTATAAGAACTGTATCCTTCGGCGAGATCTGAATTCTGAGACCTGATAGAATTACACTAAAACATAATCAGTAAAAGTTACAGCGAGAATCTTTGTATTATCACGATTAGTTAGAAGACATTTTTTTCACGGACCAGCGGGGGGGGGGGGGGGGGGGGGGATGGTTTCATGATGATTCAAGCGCATTATATTTATTGTGCACTTTATTTATATTATTACATTGTAATATGAAAGAATGATACAACTCGCCATAATGCAGAATCAATGGGAGCTAGCCCTCGGCAAGGTAAGGTAAAAGTTAAACGGTAAAAAAAAAAGACTACCTTTACCTTACCTTTTACCTTACCACAATACAATCGCTCTCCCCTACCTTTTACCCTTTAGCAGGTAAGGTAAAAGGTAAAAAGAAACGACCCTACCTTTACCCTACCTTTTACCCTCATCCCATACAAATTACCCGATTACAGGGAAATTACTGGGGTACAACACATGACAAAGGTGTATAATAATAATAATAATAGTACAATTTGTAACGCGCGCAAATTTGCAGACGTAGTGGCCGCAACTCAGAGGCGCGGAGCCAAGCTCAGAGTCGCTCAAAAGCATGATTGTAGAGGTGAGTTTTTAAGTGTCTCTTGAAGGAGGCGATTGAGGTGATGCTGCGAATGTGCAGAGGGATATCGTTCCAGACTGTTGGGGCTGCCACCGAGAAGCGGCGCGTAGACATGACCATCCTGGATCTTGGTATCAAGAGGAGGTCGTGAGTCGCGCTGCGCAGGCATCTGCCGTGTGCTGAGCTGCAAGTTGTCAGTAATGAAGAAAGATACGGCGGGCAGGCGGATATGAAGGCATTGTGGCAGAGGCAGGCGGTCTTGTATGTGACCCTACTGGCAATGGGGAGCCAGTTGAGAGCGCGGAGACGAGCTAGTGAGTCGAGGCGGGGATGAGTGTGGGCAATGACGACGCGTGCTAGGTTATTTTGTAGTCTTTGAAGCTTCCTTAGGTTGCCAGCGGAGGTCCGGACAAGGACGGAGTTACAATAGTCAAGGCGAGACCCAACTATGCAACATGCCAAAGTGTTGGCAATTTCAGTAGAGATGAGAGGACGTATGTGTCTAAGAGCCTTCAGGTGAAAGTTACATGAGCTGATGATATGGTTGGTTTGACGGTCGAAGGATAAAGTTGAATCTAGGATGACACCGAGGTAGCTGAAGTGGTTGGTGAACTTGATGCTATGACCGAAGATGTGTATGTGTGTGGGGAGTGCTGCTGAATTGAGACGTTGCTTGGTACCTAACATGATGGCCACTGACTTTTTCGGATTAAGGGCTAGGTTGTGTGCAGTGAACCATTGTTGCACGGCGGTGGTACATTCCGAGAGCCTCTCGAATCCAGATGCATTGCTAGAATCGATGGCGGTGAATAGAATCGTGTCATCCGCGTATGAGTGATGCTTAACACGTATAACGATAAATGCTAGGTAGAGCGCTTTGTTCATATAGAATACTCTCGAATCGGGCGTTGAGGCTGTCGACGACAACGTCCTCCATATCCTCCTCGTCCCAGTCGTCTTAGTCGATGGCGATCTCATCAACAACCTGATCAAGTTCGTCATTGCCATCGTCCTCGGACGAACGACAGGCAATAAGATCCTGCGCCGATCCGGCCCAGTTATACGGAACCTTCAGGCAGCCGACGTCCCGACCTCGCTGCCTGGGTCGAGCACGTTGTGCTTCTTGAGGTGGGCTTTCCACCCCGACGCGTTCGTGTGGGTGGAAAACCACTTGCGTGTGCTCCCACGGGAGCGCATGCCGCTGCCTTTTTCGATTGCTGTTCGCAGCAATCCCAAAAATGCCATTGCTGTTATCCTCGACCTCATCCTCTAGTACCTCTACCTCAAGAACGTGGACCGTCCCCATCTGGTCCGACATCAATTATCGCAAATTAAAATAGAGGCCACGGACTGTGCCACGGAGCTTTTAGCGGTAAACAAGGTACTGTAGTTACCGGGTAATTATTCGCTCTACCTTTACCCTACCGGGTAATTCTTCTGAGCTACCTTTAACCTACCCTTACCTTACCCCTTGGCATGTCGAAACCTTTACCTTTTTACCTGTTAAAAAAGGTAATTTACCTTACCTTGCCGAGGCCTAGTGGGAGCCCTGAGCCCGTTTTCCTGTAACGAGATGGTCCCATCTGAGGGGGATGGGAGACCGTGACACCCGAAGTATGTTGCCTATGTCCAGTCTGCTACCATATTCTCGTTTTGGTTGCTGTCACTGCAGAAATCCCTGCTTCACAAAGATAGGACGTTGGAAATGGAAGCAGGCTTTTCTGTGCTTTTGTCGCAATCTCAGGATATTCCGCCTTGACTTTAATCCAGAACGTATCGAGATTTGAAGTTGTCTCAAACATACTTTTAAGGCCACCTTCATTTGCGATCTCAAGCAGTTGATCCTCTTCTAGCACAGACAAAGTCGATTCACCTGGCTTAATCACAAATGGGTCGCGGGTCCATTCCTTCCCAGTTCGGGGGTCTTTTGTGGTTGGGAAGTAATGCTCAAACTCTTTTAAAAGCTGAGATAGGTTTTAATGCACCAGCTGGGAGAAAGGCCCTGGCTCAGTCTCTTTCAAAATCTCTGCTAGTGTTTGAAACGTGTCAAAAGTTCCAAT